CGTATGACCTTAAAGTGCTATAAATGACTTTGTAACAAACATTATCAGAGCTAAAAAGACCCAAGAGAGTGTGCCCCCTTCAGAGCAGTTATACTTATTCCAGGAAAGAGGGACCTGCTGGATACTGCATCTCTTTAGTGGGGCTAATTGTTCTGCCTTTGAGGCACAATGTAACTTCTGGAAACAGCTGAGAGGTATATGGTGTAAAGTCTGGTGAGTAATAGGAATGATCACACCGGACACTAAGGAGTTAAAAAATAAAAAATAAGGCCTTCCCTCCTTCCCTCTTCTTCCCTTCTTTCTCTCTCTTTTTCTTTTGTGAGACAGAGTTTCACTCTTGTTGTCCAAGCTGGAGTGCAATAGCATGATCTAGGCTCACTGCAACCTCCGCCTCCCAGGTTCAAGTGATTCTCCTGCCTCCACCTCCCAAGTAGCTGGGATTACAGGTGTCAGCCACCACACCTGGCTATTTTTGTATTTTTAGTAGAGACAGGGTTTCACCAGGTTGGCCAGGCTGGTCTCAAACTCCTGACCTCAGGTGATCCGCCCACCTGGGCCTCCCAAAGTGCTGGGATTATAGGCGTGAACCACAGGGCCCAGCCTTGTCTCTTTTTTTTTCCTCTCTCTTTTTCCCTCTCTCACTCTCACCCAGGCTGCAGTGCCGCAGTCACAGCTCACTGCATACTTGAACTCCTGAGCTCAAGTAATCCTCCCACCTCAGCCTCCCAAGCAGCTGGGACTACAGTGCATGCCACCATGCCTGGCTAATTTTTAAATTTTTTTTGGTAAAGGCCTGAACCACCACACCCGGCAAAAAATAGGTTTTATTACATAGCTCATAAATGACCATTCAAAAGTGCTTTGAACAACGACAATGACGTCATTCTCGTGGTGGTAACTCAGAAGGGAGGGCCAACTTCATTCACATGTACGGTTTAAGTTCTATGGGTTGTCAAAGTCCATGTCACTATGTTAGGGCTGGCTTTTATAGTTGTACTTCTCTTGAGTGTGGCTGTCCCAAAGATATACGAAAAAAATAACTTTGCTAGGATGCCCCAAAATCCTTTTGTCTTTGCCAACATAAATTCTGAAATTGAAATTCAAAACACAATTTGTTTAGCACTATCACAGAATGTGATTATAAGGCTGAGATGTTTATTTTAATATCTTCGGCATTTAACCTTTAACCTCTTATTTACTCTGTAAATATCATCTCAGCATGCTGAGAAAAAGAAAAAAAAAATTTAACTCACCATTAAGAAACATTTTAATCACAGATTGGTAAAAACACAAGTTGCTGCATTTTTGCAGGAAAAAAAAAAAAAGATGACTCAAACTTGGAAAATCATGACTGTACAGAATTCCTATATATCCTACCATGAAGTTTATAATACCTTGCACTTACACAGATTTAAAATATTTCTGCTTTTTGAAGCAGATAAAGAGCTTTCTCAAATTCCTAACAAATAATAAGGCCCCATACTTGTCTCATGAGGAAACACAAGGCACTATATGTTGTCTTTCACTGAGTCTCACCGGAGCTCTTCACATGCCCACAGTAGGCACAGAAGCAAAATGTTGTATTCCAAGTTATCAGAATGCTCACCACTGCTCATTATCTAACCCTCAGGATAACTCCTGAGACAGACCTCCAATTCATGAGATTCAACTGAGAAAGCAGTGACAAACAAGAAGTCCATCATGTGACATTGGAGGCCATGGCATTTTCAGTGGAGGAAGGAGTTGAAGGGTTGAAGAGAAAAGTTCAATTTGCAGCCTCACCACTCGTGGAACCATCCTACACAGGTGCTGAAATAGCTCCAAATAGTAGCAGCTGGATGCAGACTTTCCCTGTTATAATAGCTTAGAGATTGCATGGGCTGAAAATACCAGGCAGCTCCCTCTCTTTAGGGAGACCCAGTAGGAAGGTGCGGATGTTTCAATAAATATTGAATGCCACTACTGGGTATGTGGTGAACGTTTAGTCATTCTTCCTGGTGAGTGAATGAGAAGCAGCACTGTGGTTCACAGAAGGACACCACGTTAAGACTTACACTAAAGTGGCTGCAAACAGCTAAACTGCAGGTGTGTTTGGCTCCTCTGAGATGTTCAAGTCACATATAAAAATTGGCAGAGGCCGGGCGTGGTGGCTCACGTCTATAATCCTAGCACTTTGGGAGGCTGAGGCGGGCAGATCACCTGAGGTCAGGAGTTCGAGACCAGCCTGGCCAACATAGTGGAACCCTCTCAAAAAAAAAAAAAAAAGTTTGCAACCACTGACAAGGCTGTAGTCCTCAGCAAAAGTGTGGTGTGAGGTGACTTTCAACTTCAGTGAATGTCTGCTTCTTACACTTCTCCATCCCTCTCCATCCATTGCTCCACTCGTTTTCTCTCCAAGGAGATGCCTGGCCTCTCAAATATTTCCCAACTAGGACAGCCCACTCACACTTGTCCCTAGATAATGTCCCGGAGTCTAGGTATTTCCCTAACCCTTTGCCTCCATCAGAGGTGCTTGATCCCATTCCTTTTTTTGTGCTTGATCCCATTCCTTTCTGGTTTTGTGTTGTTGTATTGTGTTGTTTTGACTAGGAGACTGCTAGCTATCTGATAAACTAATCAGTGGAAATCAAGTAGGTTACCTTCCCAGGAAACATTTGAAATGTATTCCAAACTTTCTAAATACATGCCATGCCGTCACCTAAAGGAACTTACCTACCTTATCATCAGCTATCCATCAGATTTCTAGGTTGTAAATCTATTCCTGGGTATGCTTGTGTGTCATATCTATAATTTACTCACAAGTATATGCAAGTAAGGAAAAGGGAACAGATCTTGAACATGTTCTGAGGTGATGGTCAGTTCAGATTTGTTCAAATATTTCTGTATATGTAATGCACAGAAACCTTGCATTAAAATGAATCACAATTTCTGGATCCAAAGTACACAGCAGATCTAGAGCCATGGGTTTGAGTCTATCAGAGAGTCCAAACTGGTCATGGGCACAAAAGCGGAATTTCCTTTGCGCATGATGATAAGCCCAGATTCTCCGAAGGAAGCCTTAGATGTGTATTACGATTAAAGTCAACAGAGATTTTTTTGTACTCTGCTAAACAACCTACACTAAATTATAAAGATGTGCAGGGTTTTTTTTAACTTCTTCCAATCTCCTAAGGAAAAAGACACAAATAACTATTGCCTGGTAGTGTTCTTAGTTTTCTCAAGATAGGAAAGTGTCCCAAAGTGAGTTTTCAGGAGGAAGATAGAAGGTGAACTACAAGCTGTACACTGTTTTCATGAGTCAGAAAATGAAAATGGCTATTTTCCTTATGAGTCACAACTGAATGAGTCTTAGTAGGGCCTCGGGTACGGATGGAGAGCCCTCCTACTATGCTACCAGACTTCCTAAAAGACACATACACGCAAACACACACACACTTACACCGAAGAAGTCCACAGTACAGGTGCTCTCCCTACAGCCCAGCCAAGGGCCTTCTTTTTCTTCTTCTTCCTAATAATTTTTAACTGAAACAGGGTCTCACTATGTTACCCCAGGATGGTCTTGAACTCCTGGGCTCAAGTGATCCTCCTGCCTCAGCCCCTCCCAAAGTGCTGGGATTACAGGCGTGAGCCACTGTGCCTGGCTGCCAAGGGCCTTCTGATGACTGTTAGCCTCCACGCTAATCTTCAGCCACACCCAAAGAAGGTAATGTCCTTTCCCTTCCTGTTCTAAGCAGCTGAAGGGATACAACGTGGCCAGGCCTGGGCACATGTAGAACACAAAATGAAGTATCATTTGGCTTGCCGGAATCTTACATAAACATTAAATATTGTAACTTGGGTTTCTGATAATATTTAAGATGATGCTCTATTCTAAGGCAACTTCACATACATAATGAACAATTTTTCAAGTCAGGAAAGAAATGATTAACTTCGGCCACATCACTCTGGATCCAGTAGATCTACCAATGGCACATCTCCTGTTTCAGGACAGCCAGCTGTTTCAACTTTTCCCTCAGCGAATTGTGACCTCAGCAATCGTATCTGATGCACAGATAGTCGCCTGGCGGCGCACAACATGCCCATCTGTGCTGATGGCAGGGAGCCCATCAATAGGTAAGTCACACCTTGTCCCCGGATAGAACCATCTCCTTCCTAGAGCATGCCTTCTTCGCATGCATTTAACCAAACCTCTACTTCATCTGCAAGGGGGCTGAATTAAGCATGGTGTCCCAGGTTTCGGAAAAGGCAACCGAAACTATATTTCAGTCCGTTCAGCATGAAAAATGAGTTTAACCGAGGGGAAGTTAATTTCCTCAAGGTACCACTCAAGTACTTAAATTCAGTAAGATTCTTTAAGTTCTTGACACAAACACATTGATTTTTTAAAGAAATATTGACCCACGGAAAATGATTACAGCAATTCTCAAGTACCAGGACTATTACATTGCTTTAATTCAAGGGACCAGGTGCCCAGTGAGGTAGCTTCACCCAAACACAGGCCCAATGGGAATGGTTCTCTGCTGGGGTGAGGGGAGGGGTCCAAAGTAACGTGGAGTAGACTGACTTCTTAAACCTTAAAACTGGAAGAGGAAATTTAGAGATAAAGTGTTCTCTTAGATGGGGCAAAAGTGACTTAATTTTGGACTATGTAAAAAGAAAAGGCTTTGATCGAGGATGCCTTGAAAGGTTTCTCGTTGAAGTTTGTTTGTAATCATTCTTTTGAATAAACAGCACGGGGCAAGGGGGCATCTGAGCTTTGAGTGCAGGTTTCGATGGGCCTCGGCTGCACCTTCCTCAGGCTGCTCATCGGATTATCGATTGTTTAATTAGTGTTGTGCTGGTTATCATTTTGACTTGGTTCTCTTCCACAGCCATTAGAAAACAGCAGCAAACCAGAAGAGGACGACATCATCCACCTAAGCAGGACTACTTGAAAAGAAGCAAGTGTGGAAACTATGAAGACTTGTAATAGTTTGTTTTTTTTTGGGGGGGGGGGGGGGTTTTTCTCTCTCTCTCTCTCTCTCTCTCTCTGATGAACTGCCTATCTCTTCAAAATAGAGTCCTTGCTTTTGTGCCCCGGAAAGAAAAGTACGCCACGCCAAAGCCCAAGGGAGGTGGCTAAGGTTATACAGGGAGGGAGGGGAGTGCAGCTGGACTGGGGAGGTGGAATAGCAGAAAAGTCACAAGTCAAAGAGGTGCCCCCTTCCATACATTCCCAAAGTGCCAAAGGGAAAAGAGCAACAAACTAGAAACTCGCGAGAGCGTCATTCCGTGCGAAACGTTCCCTGGATCCCCGAAAAGCCCCGGTCCCCTCGCGCTTGGGAAGGGGTGGGGTCCTCTTCGGGAGGTGTTTACTCGGCGTCCCGGGCGCCGAGACCTTCGGGGTCGGCGCCCGGCACAGGTCCGGGACGGCGTAGCTGCCGTCAGCGCCCGGATCGCCCCGGCTCTCCACAGCCAGCCCGCTGGCCGCCAGGTGCTCGCCCTACCTGGCGCCCCCGCCTGCCTTTGTGCGGCCCGCGCCGCCCCTCTCCAGGGCAGGCCGGGGACCGCCCCCGCCCGCGTGCCGCTGCCAGGCGGGACAGCTGCGAGCGCTGCCGGGCGGCGGAGCGGCGGCGGGGAGGAGAGGGAGTCGGCGAGAGGGTGCCCGGGGCGGGGCGGGCACGGCCGCGGGGAGGGCAGGGGGTGCCGCCAGCGGCTGCGGCGCGAGTCTGCGAGCACCTCCCCTGCCGGCTGCATCCCCCACGTCCCAGCAGGAGGAGGGGACCCCCTAGAGCGCCGTGCCCCTCGCCGCCGATGCGCCCACACCCTGGCTTCCGACAGCTGGCAGCCATAGCAACCCGGCCACAGAAAGTTTCGCGACGCAGAAGGCGACTTGGAATAAAGTTTTCCTTGGCCCCTCGCTCACTCTCCCCCGGCCCGGGTTTACGGAAAGCGGCAGGAAATCAGAGCTCGCGACGTGCCGGCTCCCGCGTCCACCTTCTCCACTCCTGGCCCGGGCAGCGCGCCCAAAGTGGGTGCACCGCGCCGGGGTTTCCTGCCCAGTCCCCCGGCCCGGCGTCCTGGGACGCGGCGCGGCCAACTCACCATGGTGACTCGCGCCGCGGTCGCGCCTCCGCCGAGTCCCGCTGCCGGGGAGCTGGGGCTGGAACGCAGTCTCCTGGGCGAACTTCAAAAGTTGGTTCCCCTCGCCAAAAACAGGCTCCCGACACCCAAGCACTCACAGGAGCCAATGGGAACCCAGGGGGGACTCCATCCAGGCGGGATCCGCGGCGCTAGGTGAGAGCGAGACGGCTGCGACTTAGCAGGCGCGGCGCATGCTGCGGAGGGCAGGAGCCCACTCGGAGCCGCCACTCGCCGCCGGCCCAGGTGAGTCCGATGCACTTGGAGCGTCCGCCTCGCTAGCCTGCCTCGTTCCTCTTTCTTCGGCCACTTAATCCGTACTCCTCTGGCTGAGTCTCGGCTCGGGCCGGGCAATCTGTCCATAAATGGAGAACTCAGCTCAGGCCTGACCAATCAGGGTTTGTTTTCGCAGCGTCACTCCTCAGGGAAACCGTAGTAGCCAACAAGCTTGGAGCTGCTGGAGTTTCCAAAGACCTCTGGATCCTGTAGTCCTCCTCCCGCGCCAGCCTCCGAAGAAATCTGCGGACCCAGCTCGCTCCTGGTAGCAAGGACCCGAACTGTAAGGAAGAAAACCCTCGTGAAAGAGGAGCAGACCTTTCACTTCGCTGCGTTTTAAGACGAAAGTTAGGGTGGGTTTCGCTTCCAAGTTGAAGTGGCATGCATGATTTTCCCAGAACTTTTTTTTAAGAAGGAAATATTTTATCAGCATAAAACATCAGAGTCGTGGCAGCAGCCCAAAGGAAATCCTTTTTCTTTCCTGCGTCTAGATTGTGAGCAAAGTCAAAAATATCATTTCCCCACCCCTCCTTTTACCTGAATTTCCTTGGAAAACAAAGGAAGCCTTCCGGCTGCTTTTTCTTTCTTTTCTTTTTTCTGTTTTTCTTTCTCTTTCCTTTCTTCTTTTTTTCTTCTTCTTTTTTTTTTTTTTTTTTTTCACATTTTGATGACAGAAAAGTTGTTGCACGTGCAGTGGGCAGAGGGAAGGAGAAAGGAGAGATAGGTGGGAAGAAACCCCATCCAACCTCAGCCAACACATCTGCTGAAAACAATCAGAACTGTAAAAATGCATTATTACAGAGCGTCGAATTTCCCAGAAGATTGGCGGGGGGGTTGGTGGGGGGGAAGCAGAATCTCAAAATCAGGGTAGGGAGTTTGATTTTATTGTTCTGGAGGCTGAGGAAGTAAATTTGGTGGGTCTTAACAGGCTCCCTTCCTGGGATCTGTAGAAGATAAAACTGATAAACTTGAGGGCATAGAGAAAAAACTATGAAGCATAATGATATTATGATACTTTCTGAAATTCGGTTGAGGCTAATCCCAGCACTTTGGGAGGCTGAGGTTGGTGGATCACCTGAGGTCAGGAGTTTGAGACCAGCCTGGCCAACATGGTGAAACCCCTTCTCTACTAAAAATACAAAAAATAGCCCGGCATGGTTGTGCATGCCTGTAATCTCAGCTACTCGGGAGGCTGAGACACGAGAATTGCTTGAACAGAGGAGGCGGAGGTCGCAGTGAGCGGGAAATCGTACCACTCCACTCCAGCCTGGGCGACAGAGCAAGACTCTGTCTCAAAAAAAAAAAAAAGAAAAAGAAAAAAATTTGGTTGTAGCTCTTCACTTGACTATCTGAGCATAGAGTTAGAAAGGGTGTTAAACATTATCTTGTCTAAAAGGGTAAACAAAATGTTACAACATGGACAAATCTCGAAAATACCGTGTTAAGTGAAAGAAGCCAGGAGCAAAAGACCACATATTATATAATTCCATTTATATGAAAGTTCAGGATAGGGAAATCTATAGAGATACAAAGTATATTAGTTGTTTGCTAGGGGCTGTGGGAGAGGGGAAATGGAAGTACTTGCTAATAGGTATGCATTTTCCTATCGAAGTGATGAAAATATTCTGGAATTAGATAGTGGTGATGATTGTACAAGTTTTGAATATACTAAAAACCACTGTGTTGTGCTTTTTAAATGGGTGAATCTCATGGTGTGTTCATTATATCTCTTTTAAAAGTTGAAAAAAATCATATTGTCCAAATTCTTGTAGTAATCATTCACATAGTTTGGCAACAATATAATCGAATGTGTATTATAAGACAGCACGGCTAAACACTGGAGTTACAACTGGTCCCTGCCCTCACTGAGCTTACAATTTTAGAATGGGGAAAACAAATGATGAATTTTTTAAAAGAATAAATAACTACAGGAAAGAAGCAAGCATAATGAAACACAACAGTAGTTTTGTGCAAGGAACTGCCATATTTGGAGCTGTAGTTTAGGGTAGGAAATTCATCTGGTATGCTTATGTAGTATGAATTGGAAAGAAAACGCATGGCATCTGTACTAGGCATTGCCTAGGTACACACAGACATGATAAATTCTCAGATAAGTCTGACTCCATATCTCATAGGGGAATATCACCTTCAAAATATTATTGGGCCAGCCAAGCTCAGTGGCTCATGCCTACAGTGCTAGTGCTTTAGGAAGCCAAGATGGTAGGATCGCTTGAAACCAGGCATTCAAGACCAACCTGGGCATCAGAGCAAGACTCTATTAAAAAATTATAATAATAAAATTTAGCTGGGCATTATAGTACATGCCTGTAGTCCCAGCTACTTGGGAGGCTGAGGTGGGAAGATCGTGTGAGGCCAGGAATTCGAGGCTGTAGTGAGCTATGATCATGCCACTGCGCTCCAGCCTGGGCAACAGAGTGAAGCCCTGTCTCAAAACAACAAAACCTATCATGAATTTTAGGAATGTATGAACAGAGGTTATCAAAATGGAAATGTCAGCTTACCAGTAACACAAGAAACACTACCTAAACCACCATCCCATCCATGATCAACCCTGATTAGTAGTCAGATTGACATAGGCTTTGAGATATACAAAGGCGTAGTTTCTTTCCCAAATATAGCCCAGGAATACAATGAAACACTGAAAAACTCTTAATAATCCACTGACAGTCAACTGACAATTGAACAGTCTTGGATTTATCAAAAACTACCTTGAGACTATTCGTCCATTATATCATCATTTCTGATTATTTTTTTAAAAATGTTTTAGTGTTTACTATTATTGCCCTAATAATCTGTAATCTCTTTCAAGTTTCAAGAGGCACACCTAACTGTAGTAGGCAGGACTTCGATGAAGATGTATGCTTGTGTTTATTTTTTATAATATATATGAGATTTCATATGCATATATGATTTATAGATATGATTATATATTTTATAATATATATGAGAATGAGACTGTTATAAAGTCATATATATATAAAAGTAGTGCTTTATGTATTATGAGATTTGGTGATGCATAGACTTGAAGTCTGGTGTTTCTACTTAGCTGTGAGATCTTAGTTTCTCTGAACTTCAGTTCTCTTATTGATAAAACAGATTGATGTGAGCATAAAAGGAAATGTGTGTAAAGATGGTCAGTAAATGTGGATTCCTTTTTCCCTTCATCCATCTCAGGTGTTCTAGGTCAGAGATTCAGAGCTGGAAACCTGGATGAGAATGGATAGACCATGGCCCCTGAATTGCATGCCAAGGGTAGGGACTGTTTGTGTGTGCTCTTTTCTTTAAGGAGTGTTAAGAGCTTTCATCAGATTCTCAAAGATGCCTTAACAGACAAAATATTAGAAGCCACAGCTCTTGATCATATTAGTTATGCTTCTCTTGGCTTTTGTTTCTGTTGTTGTGTTTTTCTTGAGGCATATAGATTAGAACTAAGCGTGATGCCTTAAGGCCAGAGGCTCAGCTTGGATTCTCAAAACAGAACCCACGAATTCCCAGTTTGAGTGTAGAATATCGTGTGTGGTCATGTGATACAGCCTATGATTTCATGAAGAATCACTTCAAACCTGTTCCCGCTCCATCCTCAATTTAGGGAAGGTGGTACATTGTCAGTTTGGGCTAGAACGGCCTCTTACATACTTACAGCCTGATATCCCTGGGAGAGTCTTGGTTTATGCCTTTAGTTCAATGAATGTATTAATTGTACCCGTCTTTCATTCCCAAAAAGGCCTAATTTGAATAGTAACTTATACGGTCACCCTAGATTTCTGGCCAAATTACATTTTTAAAAATCCTCACCTTTTAAAATGAACATTTTCCCAATTCTGATTTCCATCTGTTTTTCAGAGGATTCAGTACTATATTGCCACATATTTATTCTTTCTTTCTTTTCTTTCTTTTTTTTTTTTTTTGAGATGGAGTCTTGCCCTGTCATCCAGACTGGAGTGCAGTGGCGTGATCTTGGCTCACTGCAACCTCTGCCTCCCAGGTTCAAGCAATTCTCTGCCTCAGCCTCCCAAGTAGCTGGAATCACAGGCATCCGCCACCACGCCGGCTAATTTTTGTATTTTTAGTAGAGCTGGGGTGTCACCATCTTGGCCAGGCTGGTCTTGAACTCCTGACCTCATGATCCACCTGACTCAGCCTCCCAAAGTGCTGGGATTACAGGTGTGAGCCACTGCGCCTGGCCTTGATTTGTTTGTTGAGACGGAATCTTGCTCTGTCACCTAGATTGGAGTGCAGTGGTGAGATCTGGGCTCACTGCAACCTCTGCCTCCCAGGTTCAAGTGATTCTCCTGCCTCAGCCTCCAGAGTAGCTGGGAATACAGACGCCCACCACCATGCCTGGCTAATTTTTGTATTTTTAGTAGAGACGGGGTTTCACCATGTTGGCCAAGCTGGTCTCAAAGTCCTGACCTCAAATGTTCTGCCTGCCTCAGTCCCCCAAAGTGCTGGGATTATAGACTTGAGCCCGGCTAGATATTTATTTTTATTCAAGACAATAGTAGCAGTGAAGTGGAAGCAAGTTTTAAAACTGTAAAACTCATTCTAGACACATGATGGAGCTAGTCAGATGAGACTTTGTACATCCCTTGGCATGATTAATTGCATTTTTCTGGGGCTGAATGAAAAGGAACCAATAAAAAAACAAAACGAATACAAAGTAAAATTTTCTGTATAAATCTATCAGTGAAATAAATCATTGTTTATGCCTCTTGGAAAGCAGCAAGAAAATAATATCGAGCAATAAAACTAGTTTCCCTGTCAATACCATAAAAAAATCATTCAGAATGCACTCACAACACTAAAGTTAATTAATTTGGCTGGGTGTGGTGACTCACGCCTGTAATCCCAGCACTTTGGAAGGCAGGTGGATCACCCAAGGTCAGGAATTCAAGACCAACCTGACCAATATGGTGAAACCTTGTCTCTACTAAAAATACAAAAGTTAGCCGGGTGTGGTGGCCTGCGCCTGTAGTCCCAGCTACTGGGGAGGCTAAGACAGGAGAATTGAACCTAGGAGGCGGAGGTTGCAGTGAACTGAGATCCTGCCACTTCACTCCAGCCTGTGTGGCAGAGCAAGACTCTGTCTCCAAAAAAAAAAAGAA